GAACCAACCCAGCGGCGCTGCGGGACCAACCCAGCAGCACCCCAGCTGCTCTGCCCCAGGCGTGTCCGATTCAGCTGCTGCTGGTCAGTTTCAACAGTGGCTGAATCTGGACACCGGTTCCAACTTACATACAAATTCAACTTAAGAACAAACCTACGGTCCCTATCTTATACGTAACCCGGGGACTGCCTGTACCAAACTAATGATCCCAGCGGCGCTGCGGGACCAACCCAGCAGCACCCCAGCTGCTCTGCCCCAGGCGTGTCCGATTCAGCTGCTGCTGGTCAGTTTCAACAGTGGCTGAATCTGGACACCGGTTCCAACTTACATACAAATTCAACTTAAGAACAAACCTACGGTCCCTATCTTATACGTAACCCGGGGACTGCCTGTACCAAACTAATGATGCATCTGTTCCCAAAATTTGCATTTTTATAATCCCTTTCCAAAGGTACACAAAGAATTTGAAAATCCTAATGGTCCAGATAGTGTTTCCCTACTTACACATACTTATACTTATGCACTGATTCTCTGTAACACTATGAATCATTAGCCAAATAATGTATACTTCTGTTGTGGTGGTTGTAAGATTACTTAGGTGTTTCTAAGAAATTCCTTGTCCTCAAATCTATTGGCTTGACCTTTATGACTAGGATCAGAAAAATCAAGAAAAGCAACGGAAAAATAAAAGCAACAAAAGCAAAGAGAGGGATTAATTAAGACCCTCTTGTAATTCTGTTTTTTAGACATTAGCCCACACAGAAAGTTACAAGGCTGTTGACAACAGTCTTTCCAGAGATTTCTGATAGTTTTTTACACTGATTTAGGAGCCTAAATATCATTTTCAAAAGGAATGTAAGCATCTTTTGGTTTCCAAATGTTTAAATGCTTTTTAAAAATGAGACTGACCCCTGGTTGATACTACAGAGTTAGGTTGATGCAAGGTAGCTTGGAAAACAGTCAGGATTGTTCTTAGGAGCAAAATAGAAATGGCCACAGGCACCAGCATCAACAGCCGGGTCAGGGTTCTAGTCAGTCCAAACCCACCTCAGGCCATATGCAGCAATTTTGAAGGTACGATTGAGGACGCCGTACCAGTTGCTTTTTTTTTCCAAAAATTCTGAAATTTTGACTCACATTTTGTATGTTTCCAGTGTGTTTGACCATTCTGAAAAGCAAAAACTAGTGACTGAAAATGGATTCATCTATATACCAAGACATACCATAATCATGTGTTTAAAAAAAAAAAATCAAAGAAACAAAAACTCATAGCTGTGACAACTCCTCCTTTCCTCTTCAAGGAATATGGTCTAGTGTGTGTCTGGTAGATTTTGGTCAGTATTATATAGAATCCTGCAAAAGTGTAGTTCAACAAATTGTGAAAATGTTTGTACTTAATATTCAGTATATCTCTAGCGTGTATTCTGTGAGCTTTATTTTTCTGACTGAAATTAGTTTTTTCCTTCTATTAGCCCTATGGAACCAATACAGCCATGGCAGACAAAGCTGTATTCTTACATGGCTCACACATCAACAAAAGAATTGTTTAATTCTGTTACAGAACATTTATTAGTATATAGTGACATATATTGGCTGTCGCAACACTACATATCTATGTCAAATAATTCCATTAAGTGAAAGCTATTAACTAGAAACTGTGCAAGATAAAGATGAAGCTGAACAGGGAGCGGGGTGGGGGAGAATCTTAGGATATTGAGAGGTGGCATTCCCTCCCAGTAAAGCCATTGTCTGAGGATCTCTTTTCAGTATTTTGTACCATGATCTACATTTTGCATTTTTCATTTTATAAAAAAGTCAGCATGAAAATTCAGCTATCTTTATAGCTGTGATTTTGCTGCTTTGTGAGGAATCATCTATCTGAGATGCAGATACCTTGACCTTTCTGCTCAGTATCACTATGCTTTTCTGTTAAAAACCAATTGAGTTAATGTAATTTGTAATCTATAAATGAGCCAGGAAGGAATTTTTTTGTTTTATAAATAAAAAAGGTCTAATTTCATTTCAATTATCATATGAAAGTAAACGTAAAAATATGAGCTACTGCAGTTTGTCCTCTGTTCTGCAGCAGACAAACTGATAACAAAGTAATCTGATATGGTTTAAAACACTCTCCTGCCTTGTTACTTAGAATAACAACAACCTGTAAAGGTACTACAGTTAACATTGAGTTTGGACACACTATTTTTTTATCATATGGTTGCAATGAAATGTCCTACTTGAATTTTAAAATTGTAAGGTATGTTCTCTATGAAGTGAGCAAATGTGTTCCTCACAAACTTTATAAATTATAGTAGAGTAGGGATAGTATTGAAGAATTGATTGTAAAAGGGGAGAGCTTTAGAAAAACATTTACTACAGTTTCATAAAATAATTAGCAAAAAATTCCTATTACTATTGTTACAATGTAATGCTATATAAATTTCATGTTAGTAAAAGCCACTCCTTCCAGTAGAAAACAACAACAAAACCCTACAGGTGCGTCTAGACTGGCAAGCTGTCTACACTGGTTGCTTGAATTTGTGCAAGAGCACTGACTTCGTAATGTATAAAATCAGTGCTTCTTGCGCAAATACTTTCACGCTCCCACTCAGGGACAAGCCCTCTTGCGCAAGAAGGCCAATGTAGACAGGTACCTTAATTTTTGCGCAAGAAAGTTCGATGGCAAAAACGGCCATCGGAACTTTCTTGCGCAAAAGCGCGTCTAGATTGGCATGGATGCTTTTGCGCAAAAGCATTTTTTTGCGCAAAAGCATCCTTGCCAATCTAGACGCTCTTATGTGGAAATACTTTTAACGGAAAAAACTTTTCCATTAAAAGTATTTCTGCAAAATCATGCCAGTCTAGACGTAGCCTACAAGTTTAGTCTCAACCAGCTAAGGCATACAAATAGTTTTGTTAGCATATGCCTTGTCAGGAGAGTGAACATAGGTTCATCAAATGAGCACAGTAACCGTACATTATTAGCTCTTCTACATTTCTTCTCTTGGCTACGTTTGCTACATTGTCTGTGGCCAAGCTATGTACTAGATATGATTTTTTTTTTCATGGTGTGTTTTTACTGCTGCTTTTTGTACATATTCCGTTGTGTGAATTTTCTGTAAGGAAGACATCCCCTTCTTTTGTTGTCAGACAAACAAATACTACAGGATCATGGTGGACATTGCTCCATCAAGACTCTGGTTAACAATTTTATTCTCTTATTTTTTTGCACACGGCTCAATTTCTCTTTCATAAACTTTATCCAGCAATTTGCCTGCAACATCTGCTCTGTTGGGTTGACTATCCTGGTCTTAATGACTGAACCATGTTAATGAAGTGTGGTTTTTCAGTCATGGAAAGGAGAGTTTGTTGCATAAACAAACCAGGCAATTTTTTTTCATCTTTTACCTCTTTTTGTAATCTGCTGGTTCTTACCAAAAACTTATCTATGGTTGTGTTTGGATGATGGAGATTGTGTTTCTTTTTGCTACAGGTGATATACTGTGATCATGTGACATACATGATGTGTGACACTGTCGTTGGCAGATAACTCTGAAACTATAGAAAATGGCGCTGATGGTGAGGGTGGAGGGTCTTCAGAATCCTATTTGTTGAGGATGAATTCTCCTAAACAAAATAAGTCAATGCAGTTATTTAATTATTACTGTACTGCTCATTTAGTATTACCCAGTGTCAGTGAATGCAATGAGTATTACTTTAAAGGAAAAATTGTAAAAGGAAGTTCTTCCTATTTCAGCTATTTATTTTTTATCATAATGTCTTCAAAAATTATAATACCATAGAGTAACAATTATATTTTTTGTTCAAACATGAGACTTCAAGAGCAGTCCAGAAGGCAAATAGGCATTCCTTTCAGAAAGAAGTATGAAATAAGTTTACCAACCTGAAGATCCTGCATGTTCAGACATGCTCCTTTCATCATCTTCAGTTCAGTTTCCTCCTGAGAAGGAATACTTTTCATGATGTTGTTTCATTCTTTGTGGTACTGTTTGGATTTTGCATGCGTGCCTGTCTTACCCACAGGTAGAGAAATTTCATCAAAATTTTAAGACTTCTGGAATATGCTGCTCAAACAGTTTCACTTTTGTTTCTACTGCCTGTCCCTCTCTTCTCACATTTTTCTCCTTGTCCAAGGCTATTCCACCTCCAACAGTGTTCTATTTATTGAACTCTTTAAAACTTTGCACTTTTAGAAAGAGGTAAGGGTTTTACTCTGAGTACAGGAATTTGCAGAGGGACAATATGGTTGAGGTCTGTTGTTTCTCACCTTTATATATTATTTCTTTAAAAACATTTTTGCTATTAACAAGCATGTTATCTTTGGAAACACAAATCCACAGCTTGAGAACTGCAAAACTAAATATTTCTAATGATGTCGTCTACACTGAGCACTGAGTCCCATTGGGTAGATAATTTTAGGTCAATCTTTCTATCTGTACAGAAGCCTCTGGAACCCCATAAGATTAGGTTCCTAATCCATGAACTATTGGAACTCATTTACAAAACTTTTCTTAAACATTGCATGAATATATTGTCTCATACTATAGAATTAAAATTTACTAGGGGGCTATACCCCCTGCTGACTGCACTCACCAACCCCCTCTCATAGGCAGTAGACAATCCTGGGTTCCATCCTCCTTTTCCCTGCCTTCCTGGGCCCCTTCTCCCTCCCCCCTCCCTTCCTCTCCTCTTCCCACTGCAATAAGCCTGTTCAGGGTAGATTCACACCCCAGCTTGCTATCAAATAATAAGTATTCATGGAAACAAGTCCAAATAATGGGAGTTCTATGCTAAGGAGGGAGTTAGCAAGTGGGGATTGGAAGGAGTCAGTAGAAATATCTTCAAATGTTATGTATTTGTGTATGATGCATAATTATCCCATCTATATAATTTTGGTTCAATGCATACCTATTTGATGATTTTCACTTTAATCTCCAGAGTTCCCTCATTATCTATGATGTTAAGAGTGTGCTCCTATTCTCTGAAATAACCAACGACTTCAGTATACTTTTTAAAATTAAAGTGCAGTTCTTCCTTACTGATTTTGTAAAGATTCATTTCACTGATTTCACCTCCCCCAAAATTAACTATAGTTGCAAGGGTATCCCTATTGTCTTCAAATTGTTGTCTGGGATAAGGATGTTGAACTGATAACAAAGTCTGAAAACAGGAGGGCATTGCAACTGACTAAGGATATACAGTAGTTTAGGTTGCTGAACATCCCTTGCTGGAAATGAGACATGTAATGGAAAAAAATGCTCTGAGCCCTCCCATCAGATTGTGAGTTTTGCAAACTGAACTTGTCAGTGAGAAATAAATATTTGGTGTATAAATCCCAGGATGGTAATTTAACAAATAAACTTTTCAAGACAGAATTGCACTTTTAAATAGTTTACTTCAGTTTGATATACTATCAACATATTGCATGTTACTGCCATGGGGGCCATAATACATTTCACATTTCTTATCTGTATTTGTTCCCCTAATGAATATGCAATAGAAAGGATTGCTTTTTTTCCCCCAGCCTTTTGAATGTGACTGTAAAATGGTATTGAACACAAGTGGTCACAAGTGGAGAAGGTATATTTAAATTACTTGTCTATTTTTCTTTGGAGTATGTGAAACATAAACTTTTTCCTTTTTTTAAAGGTGCCAAACCAGTCAAAGTGGTATATATTGGCTCACCACTCCCCAAAAAGGAGATTACTATCAGAGAAAAGAATCAAATTTTTCATGAAATCCCGTTGGATTGCTTGACTTCCAAAAATTCATCTATTCCGGTCTCAGCTGTATTGATGGACAATTCATCCGAGGAAAATATTGTTCAGTGGAATGTATGTAGCTGTATGTCTTTGCAAAAAATATGCTAGCTTATTTCCTTTCTCTTTAAGTTCTGCAATAATAGTGGAGAGAACCTTGTTCTCCCCCGATATCACTGTCTTATAGAGTGAAAAAGTCTCAGATGGGTAGCTGTTAGTCTGTAACTGAAAAAACTTAAAAAACAAAAAATGAATAGTCCTACAGCATCTTAGAGACTAACAAAAAATGTAGATAGTATCATGAGCTTTCATGCACACAACCCACTTCTTCAGATGAATGCAGCAAGGTTTCCAGAGGTACAAATAGCAGAAAAAGGGGATGGGAGGAAAAGAGAAAAATAAAATTCTTGTCAGTTAGCTTGTCTGTGCTAAATGAGACAAAGTGGGCTGTAAGTGCCTGATAATTGTCATTAGGGTGTTGAATATAGCAGCTCATCCAGTTCACATCTTTGTTCAGACCTCGATTAAAGTTTGCATTGGATTTAACTATTTCTTTTACATTGGTACAATGCCCTTTATTCTTTATTAATTTTTCTTTGTTATATGAAGATGCCTCCCGATACTTGTCAGTTAAGGAGGATTCAGACTCCAGACCATGGGGATCTAGACTTTGACAATGATGTCACAGAATTAGAAACTTTTGGAACAACATCTAAACCCTCAAAGACATCCAAAATGGAAAATGCTCCTGCTAATGTATGTAAAACTCAATCAGGCAAGCTAAAAATAGAGAAGCAGTTGGTATCTGCTGTAAGTGTTTGTGCCGAAGAGAGAAGAAGCAAAGGTAATGAACAGGAATTTTCAGCTTGTACTAATAAGCAGAATGTGAACAAGACACAGCTACCATCACTGAATGGTGATGTCGTGTGGACTAATTCGGAAGAAAATTCCTCTAAAGGCCTTGATTCAGATGAAGTTGAGTTAAATGATGAGCAACATGGTATGGCCACAAACGAAGTATTAGACAACTGTACTTCTACTAAAACTGATAGTTTCAAGAGAGAGTCTGAAATTACAGAAGCAAATGGGACTCCTGTTTCTTTTTACAGTAGTGACACTGACGAAGAACGTTTGATTATTGACATAGAAAATAAAAGTAGGGAATATCGCAAAGCATCCGTTTTTAGTTCTAATCCAGATTCTGTAGAAGATGCATCTAAACCACCTTCCTCAGTACAAATGTCTTCAAGTAATTTGGCTAATTCTTCAGAGAGCCAAGACCAGAAAAAAATTGCTTCCAAAAAACCTTTCAAAAGACTGTGTAAAGAACTTGATCCTCTTGGACAAATTTTGAAAATGCAAACTGAACTCCTTAAGCCACCTTCCCCAAAAGCTCCTGAGCAGCCTCTAGTAAATTGTGATAGAAGTTCTAATCCTACACCGAGCCTTGTGTCGCCACCTTCAAAACCCACTCTATCTTCCATTGCAGAGCCTGCTGCAGATATGAGCAACTTACCTAAACTTACATGGACTTCACATTTTCAGGCAAAAGGTAAGAGGTGTGTTTAGTGCATTCAAAATTAGGAGAAAGACTGACTGGCATAAAATGCTCAGCAAACCATTTGCAGTGATTGAAAATTATAACCCTTCATATATTTCTGTGTCCTTTTTGTCTGCAGGTCTGGAGTAGACATGCATAGAATGATTAATCTGTCATTCTTTTCAGTTCCATGATGGATCATGTATTCAGAATACGTGATTTTGAAATATTTGTTTGTTGGGAGGTGTGTGTGTGTGTGTGTGTGTGTGTGTGTGTGTGTGTGTGTGTAGTTAAAAAAAAAAAAAGAACAGAAATACTAATGCTTATGGAGTTATTTATTGATCATTTATCAGTTCCATACATACAAGATGGGAAGCGACTGTCTAGGAAGGAGCATGGCGGAAAGGGATCTAGGGGTCATAGTGGACCACAAATTGAATATGAGTCAACAGTGTGATGCTGTTGCAAAAAAAGCAGATATGATTCTAGGTTGTATCAACAGGTGTGTTGTAAGCAAAACTCGTGAAGTCATTCTGCCGCTCTACTCTGCACTAGTTAGGCCTCAGCTGGAGTACTGTGTCCAGTTCTGGGCGCCACATTTCAAGAAAGATGTGGAGAAATTGGAAAGGGTACAGAGAAGAGCGACAAGAATGATTAAAGGTCTAGAGAAGCCTATGAAGCCAGGCTTCATGAACTGGGCTTGTTTAGTTTGGAAAAAAGAAGATTAAGGGGGGACATGATAGTGGTTTTCAAATATCTAAAAGGGTGTCACAAGGAGGAAGGAGAAAATTTGTTCCTCTTGGTTTCTGAGGACAGGACATGGAGTAATGGGCTTAAAGTGCAGCAGGGGAGGTTTAGATTGGACATTAGGAAAACATTCCTAACTGTCAGGGTGGTCAAATATTGGAATAAATTGCCAAGGGAGGTGGTGGAATCTCCCTCTCTGGAGATATTTAAGAACAGGTTAGATAGACATCTGTCAGGGATGGTGTAGACGGAGCTTGGTCCTGCCTTGAGGGCGGGGGGCTGGACTCGATGACCTCTCGAGGTCCCTTCCAGTCCTATGATTCTATGATTGATTCTATGAAACTCTATTAAGGGCATCCTAAAAGAGATGCTGAATGAAGTTTTACTTACCTACATTAAATGTAAGCTTTGGGACCTCAACAGAGTGTCAGGCCCTTTAGCAAAGGGTTTTTTTAAATCTCTTTAAAATGTGCAGGCTTCAGTTTAAACTTGATTTAAACTGGGTGTGATAGAGCATCCACACTACACTTGGCCCAGAAATACCAGGACAAAATTAGTTTTGTATATGTCATCTCACAGTTCCTCATTTCTAGGGTCAGTTAAGCATCTAGCACTACTATGTAGAGGTAATAGAGGGGGCATCCTGAATGGATTTTTTTTACCCTTTTGTGCCACCAATGGATGGGCTGTCTGTCTGGCCTGAGTGTATGCGATATGTCAGTATTTGAAATATGCACAGTAGTTGTAAGCTGTGGGAGTACCCAGGTATAAGAAAGACAAGGTGGATGGGGTAATAATCTTTTATTGAACCAACTGGTGTTGCTGACAGACATGTGAAAGACAGTCTCATAACTAAGTTAAAAAGCTTGTACAAGGTGCTTCAGAAAACTATATACTTATTTAGTAGCAGCTGGATTCAGAAATCCCCAAAATGTCTTTACTCTGGATATGAAATCTAAAAAAGAAAGAGGCAAAAAAATGGATCATAAGCATCAAAGGGAATGAAAGCAATCTAGAAGTCCTGCACTGAGAGATGGCAGCTCCCAAAAAAGAAAGATACATCCAGTTTTATTCCTTGCCATTCTGTATTATAGAATTCAGGTACATGTACTTTATACCAAACTGATGATGAGCCTCTGACAAAGAGCTCCTGTAGCTGTGCAACCCTGGCACGTTTATTAGGTTTTTTAGTCTTTTTAAGCTGTAGCACTTGCCTTCAGCCGTGGGTTTGGCTTTTGACCTACTATCATTGCAGCTATGTACGGTCTTCTAAATATTTTCTTTCAAAATCCTAGTAAATAACTGAATTAAATTCATGACCCTCTCTGATCCCACAGATGAGAATACACCTGAATCTCCCTAATCCGTGTGGCCCAGATTCCGGGAACACCTGTGATTCAGAGGGGGGGAAGAGGAAGTGGCTCTGCATGCAGCTGTTCTCCCCTCCTCTGCGCATTAGGGAACAGCAGTGCAGTGAAGTGTGGGGAGTGGTGGGGGCTGGTGCCTGGGAGTTGTAGGGGTGTGCAGATCCACATGTGCCCCAAGGAGTGGGGCTCCTGGTAAGCGTCCCATCCTCTTCCCTCACACGCTCTCTCTCTCTGACCCCTCTCCAATGCCCTCCCATGGTCTGAAAAAAAATCTTTAATTCAGTATACCTTGTTTCACAGGATCGCTGGATTAAAGGGTCAAGTGTATTTGGACAGAATCTGACATATGTTACAGCAGTGTAGATTCAGAGTAACTACTTCAGTGACGTATTCTAGCTTTATACTGGTGCCACAGAGGTCAAAATCGCATCCTCCATTTGTAAGAACAGTAGCTTACAAGAGTAACTGTGGCTAGGGTAAAATATATGCAAGTGCTTAATAAACTTTTAGTGACTACACAGGGTAGATACAGGACATTTTCTAGGTTTAGTTTATCTTGAAATACATAACAAATGCCCCTTTGGTTTGAAAAGACAATTTTCCAAAACTCTTACTAAAAAACTGATTACTTCCTTGGAAAGACTATATGAGCCTATTAATTTCTGTTTTATTTATTTTTGAAAGGATCACTCCCAACTAAACTTCAGTCACTTGTTGAAGACAATTCAGAATATACAGCTCCTCAGGATGGCAATCTTGTATATAAATTGTTCAGTCTGGATGACTTGCTGTTACTTGTGCGTTGCAATGTGCAAAAAGTAAGGACAGGGACACGGACCTGTAAAAAAGAAAAAAAAAAGGTAAAGATTTTGCTTTTAGTACCCGTTACACGTATGCTTGACTGAAATTTGTTCCATTAACAAAATATCTTTATTTTAAGTGCACTGATGTGATACAGGATTGCTTGAAGTGCTGCAGTCTTGTTTACGCACACTTATTCCTTTAAAATAGATCATCCAACATATACATTTGTATTTTGTTCATTTCTTTAACCTTCCAATTTCTATCTGTTGAGCAATTTTTTCTGTCAGAAGAGAGGCAAGGATTACTTTTGACTTGTGTAGCCCCATTTATATCATTTTATGACGGGTGCGATCACAGAAGTTCCCTTGGGATTGTTCCCGGTGTGCTGATCATGCCACTGACAACTTCCTTCTTGCTCTCTGGAGTTTCACACCATTCTGCCCAGCTGCTCTGTCCCAGGCGTCCAGATTCAGCCGCTGTTGAAACTGATCAGCGGCTGATTCCAGGAAGTCCGGGGCAGAGCAGCTTTGCCTGGGCTTCCTGTAGTCAGCCGCTGGTCAGTTTCAACAGCGGCTGAATCTGGACGCCAGTTCCGACTTACATACAAATTCAACTTAAGAACAAACCTACAGTCCCTATCTTGTATGTAACCCGGGGACTGCCTGTAATTCAAAAATAGAACAATTGGATAATTTTCTTGAATTCCTGGAGGTGGCAGCAGATTGTAGATGCATAATAATTTTACCTAGTTAGGAGTTTATTAGATTGTAGTTTGCCTATCTATAAACATTTACTTAAATGAAAAATAAAAGAAACAAAATAACTTAATATGATATTTGTTTAAATGTAGTGTGTCTCATGTAAAATGTTCTGTAGTTCCAATATCTTTTATAACTCTTTCTCTTGCTCCTGTGATAACTATCAAATACTAAGAGTAATTAAGATGTTTTAACTTGCTGATGAGTGGCCTCCTGGCTAATATTATTTTTACTTTCAGCATATTCCAGTTTATGTATTGCCAAAAGTAGAATATCAAGCCTATTATGGAGTAGAAGCTCTTACAGAAAGTGAAATATGTCGGTTGTGGACAGAGAGCTTATTGCATTCTAAATGCTCGTTTTATGTGGGTAAGTTTGTTGGAGTATTGTACCTATGATTTTAATCAAAAGAGTAATGTTTTGCTTCATGTTTGATTACTGCTTTAGTCACTTATAGCCTTGTTTCTTAATTTGCTGTTACATGCTGACATTTCAACTACTATTAAAGATACAAGTAGGAAGAGCAGTAATTCTTATGTTCAAATCCATTATGATGATAAAGAAAAATGAAATAAAAGGCAAGAGAATTAGAACAAGTTCTAACATTGAATTATCTTTCCCCTTCCAAGCTCTTGTCTGGTTGAGACTGTCATAGCAAACAGGATTTCCCCTTTGACCTAATTCTGTTCCCCAGATACGTGACTCACATATTTAATTTTAATGTATTAAGGTTTAAAATATTCATAATTGCAAGTACAGTTCCTGCTTTTTTTCTGAAACTGCTTATTTCACTTCACTTCAACTACTTCATGTGCAAAAGATTTCATAGAGCTCATTATAAGAATTGAAAATGTTGTACAATATCAAAAATCCAAGATAGGCTCCTGCTTGCCTCCCTGTCCACTCTCCCCATGCTGCTGCCTCTATAGAGGGAGCAGAACAGGGATGGGGTTGGGGTACATACAACCATGCAGGTGAACAGATCAGCCCAAGCTTATCGGGTAACGTGTAAATACTTACACTTTCGTATCCCTATTCTGTGCAAACATTTTGTAACCTTTACTTATTTCTGTGTTTTAAAATTGTGAAACACTAGACATCTTTAAAAGATGACACTGAATTTAGACTATTAGGATTTCAGTTTTCTTGTTATCTTTAAGCAAAAGCTCCTAATGTGAAGGAGAGAGTATCAAATCATATAATAAAAAACTTCTAGTTTAATTGTAATTCTCTCCAGGAGAGTGCCTTAGACTAATAAAAGCATTTTCCACCAAGGGATTACATTTCAAATGAAAAAAAATGTTTAGCTAGTAGTGAGCTTCTCCCCACCCAAGTCTGTCTGATCCCTCTGGTCTTATTTCCCAATATGTCTTGTGATTAGAAACAAAGCTCAGGAGGAAGCGCCTCAGTATTCTCTGTCCTCTAATATGTGAAAATGGAGAGGAAAGAGAAGGGAGGAGCCACTTCTGGTTGGAATGGAATGGAAGGAATGCATCAGTAAAGAGAGACAGCTTGTGGAAAAATACAAATCTTCAGTGAGAGACGCACAGTGGGTGTAGTTTAGAACAGGAGGAGGTTAAAGCCTGGGTAACTGTATGGAATATTTCGGACTTAATTTTGTAGAGGAGCAGCTTTTCTCCAAATGTTTGTGTCTCCAGAAACCACAAATACTGCTCCCATGAGGGAAAAAATGTTTAATGCTTTGTTCATAATTGTACAAATGCAGAACTTGAAGTTCTTACACCAGGGTTAATGGGCTGCCGCGGAGGGGCTCCGGAGGGGGGGCATCCCATGCGCGCCTGGGATGCCCCGCCGCCGGCTTCCCCCGAGGCTTTCAAAGCCGCGGAGGGGCTCCGGCGGCGGGGCATCCGGCGTACAAGACGACCCCCGATTTTTGGGGGATGTTTTTTAACTTCAGAGGTCGTCTTGTACGCCGGAATATACGGTATGTAGAGCTGGCTGGGGAAAAGTCTTTCTGCAAGTATCTTAATGTTTTCTTTCACTTTGGAAAGAAGCTTTCTCTCTCAAAAAATATCCTCCACACTTTTCATGGAAAGGATTTCTAAGGAAACTTGTTTCAGGAGAATCAAAACGGATTTTATTTTTTATTCACCCTCACCATCCTCAGGATGAAATTGGCAGGAGGCATTCTAGCTTAGCTGCTGGAGAAGCAGAGACTCAGGAAGCCAGTGTACTCTTCCTCCCCAGCCAACCTCCTCACCTCTGGGCATAAGGAGGCAGAACACGTTGGCTATGGGTATTTCTGACCTCCAGACGTATGGGGGGCAGTGATGTAGAGCTGTGCCTCTCTTGTCTCCACAGAAGCAGGGGGGAATGTGGAAGCATACCTATGTTGTGACTAAAGCGACGAGGAGTCCTGTGGCACCTTATAGACTAACTGAAGTGTAGGAGCATAAGCTTTCGTGGGCAAAGACCCACTTCGTCAGATGCATGTAGTGGAAATTTCCAGAGGCAGGAATAAATATGCAGGCCAGGATCAGGCTGGAGATGACCAGGTGGATCCAATCAAGGAGGATGAGGCCCACTTCTAGCAGCTGATCTGGAGGTGTGAATTCCAAGAGAATAGAAGCTGCTTTTGTAGTTAGCAAGCCATTCACAGTCTTTGTTTAATCCAGAGTTGATTGTGTCAAACTTAAAGATGAACTGTAGCTCAGCAGTTTCTCTTTGAAGTCTGGTCCTGAAGTTTTTTTGCTGCAGGATGGCTACTTTTAGATCTGCAATTGTGTGTCCAGGAAGATTGAAGTGTTCCCCTACAGGTTTTTGTATGTTGCCATTCCTAATATCAGATTTGTGTCCATTGATTCTTTTACGTAGGGACTGTCCTGTTTGGCCGATGTATATAGCAGTGGGGCATTGTTGGCACATGATGGCATATATTACGTTGGTGGATGTGCAGGAGAATGTACCAGTGACAGTATGGCTGGTCTGGTTAGGTCCTGTGATGGTGTTGCTGGTGTATATATGTGGGCAGAGTTGGCACCGAGGTTTGTTGCAAGGATTGGTTCCTGAGTTCGAGTTATTATGGTGCGGTGTGTAGTTGCTGGTGAGAATATGCTTCAGGTTGGCGGGTTGTCTGTGGGCAAGGACCGGCCTACCTCCCAAGGCCTGTGAAAGCGAGGGATCATTGTCCAGGATGGGTTGTAGATCACTAATGATGCGTTGGAGAGGTTTTAGCCTGGGACTGTAGGTGATGGCCAGTGGTGTTCTGTTGGTTTCTTTCTTGGGCTTGTATGTTTTGACTAAAATTTTGTCAGATCTGTAATAGATTTGATAAAACATTTTTCTACCAAACTTGCATTTTCCAAAAAACCTGAGGGTTTTTGGAAAGATTTGAATGAGCTCTATCTACATGTATAATGTGGTCAAGGTAATGTTAACTGTAGGATCCCCAACTAAGATTTGTACAAAGTCTCAGGGGGATAGCCATGTTAGCCTGTAACTTTAAAAACAATGAGTAGTCTATAGCATCTTACACCTGGTCTACGCTACATCGGAAGATCAAAGCATCTTCAGCTATTTGTAAATTACGTAGCTGGAGTTGACCCATCTTAAAATTGCATTTCCACACCAGCCACACAATGGGAGGCTAATGGGAGTGAACGCTTCTGTCAGCTTCCCTTACTCCTCATGGGAAGGAGCACCAGCACTGACAGTGGTGCCCTTTGAGTAGGATCTAGTGGGTCTGTACTAGACCCACTAAATCAAGCCCTGGAAGATCAACTGCAGCAGTGTCAATCTTCCACAAGTGTAGCCACGCCCTTAGAGACTAACAAGAAATATATACAATCATTAGCTTTTGTGGGTAAAACCCACTTCATGGGATGCATACGAAGGTAACATTTGTAGGTTATCTTTATATTGGGGGGTGGGATAGCTCAGTGGTTTGATCATTGGCCTGCTAAACCCACGGTTGTGAGTTCAATCCTTGTGGAGGCCATTTAGGGATTTGGGGCAAAAATTTGTCAGGGATGGTACTTAGTCCTGCTGTAAAGGTAGGGGACTGGACTGGATGACCTTTCAAGGTCCCTTCCAGTTCTAGGAGATAGGCAATCTCCATTATTAAAAAAACTTGCTGCTAGCTAATTTGGTTAAATAGTTGTAATGTTCAAAAATATATTTTTGAATGAGTTTGGCACTCAGTTTGAGGTCAAAAATCCTGTTTGTACAGAGAATGACTGTTCTACAGTTAGGACTGTCTCATTTTCCTGTTGTAGAAAAAACTTGTCTTTGCTAGTTTCTATAGCAGCTGTTGTGGCCTGTGGTTACTTAACTCTTCCAGTTGTTCTCCGAATTTATCCCTTTTAGATATGTTTTTCACATAACATCATAGCAGAAGTTTTGCTTTTGTGTCTTAGATCTGCAGAGTTGTTTTTGTCCTAACATTTACATATAAACTTCCCTTTCTATTCTAATCTTCAAATTTCAATTTTGATGGGTTTTAGAACCACATTTCCCTATTTTAATTTGTGTTTTTCTCTCTCTTTCTTGCTATGTGAAGAAATCCCACAAATGGGAAAATAAATGACTATGGGCATAATTCTATTCACATGAATAGCCTCTGTGAACTATGCTTCTAAGTAAAGTTATGCATATAGTCTGAGGTTTCCAAAAAGCCTGAGAGAGGTAGGTGCTAAACTCCAATTGAAAGTCATTTGGAAAGTTGGGTGCTTGACTACCATGCGCTTTTTGAAAAATCCTAGCTGTATGGGTTTCAATAAAGGGGAAAGCAACTGATTGATTGTGCACAGGGTGTCTCATTCATCAAGGAATTAAGTTATTTCGCTAATCTGTCATCTGTAATAATTCCAGATGGCAATTGTAACACTAGGTAGAAACATATAGAGATAAATTCACAGAATCCCTTTAACTATCCTGGAAAAAAAAGTGGATTGTTTTCTATATTCATCTGTTTCACTGTGAGGAAATAAATTTAGTAGGATTGTTTTTGTTCAGACTTGAAATATATTTAAAGATTGCTAGTGAAATTTTGTCTATTAGCCACATATGTAGTAGTTTTAATTTTTGGATGTAAATGTGCTGATTTCTTTTTAAGGTAAAAATTAATTTTTGCTTTGAAACATCACTGCCTGTCCTAATGATATTATCACCCCTTTTAAGATTTTTAATCTTCTATATATTTGGGAGAGACTATATGCCCATCCAACCTTCTCTTTGTTTAAGAGCTCCTCCGAAACAGTAAAAACTAGGACCACCAAATTTGGTAGGAAGCTTCCTCTTAACCAAAACCTTAACTTGCTTTAAGTTAGGATAAGAGGAAGCTGCATGCCAAATTTGGTGGTCCTATTTTTTTTTACTGTTTAAGAAGAATTATTGAACAGACTTTCAGAAAGACACATTTCTAAAATGTATAGTAAGATTGATATGACATATGTGGAGTACTGGTTCCTTTGGATTCTAATGTGTGTGTACTTAAGAGGCTCTTTCCATAAGGAAATGTGTTCAGTTGCATAAAGTTGGGAGAGAAATAACTAAAGTTTCAACCTGAAAAAGATGAGTGGGTTTATACTTTATGTTGAAGGCACATGTAAACCATAATGCCTTGTCACCATTAACATTTTTGTTTTGTGGTTACATGAACATTGCTAAGTACTAAGAATGAGTAAAATGCTATCAAGACTGTGTCATTTCCAAATTTGCCCTTGCTTAGGTTGAAAAGCTATGTAAAGGTCTCTATTCTTTGAACCCTACCACCTCCCAGGAATCTCTAAGGTGTGCGGAGTGGAATTGGTAGATTAATGGCATATATGGTTTCAGCTCACCTCTTCTCTATGAAGAGAAGTCTTGAGGTACACTGGAGAAAGGTCCATTGAATCTGTGCAGTCATACAAACACATGCTGCTATACAGTTGCTTCAGGTTTTCAACAAAGAAAACTATCTCTGTCCCATGTGTTTCCAAAGAGAGACAAGCATTCTTGCTATGAGCACAGTAAAGAAAGTTGAGATCAGCTCCCTTGGATTAAAATGGGAGCTGTTTTGCAGCCAAGAAAAAAAAAGTTCCCCTTATAATTTCATTATCTGTATGTCAGGACTTTATAATTATCTAAGTGAAAGCTAATATGACTAGGTTACTATTTTCCCAAGTAAAATGTGTGTGGGAAGGAGCTGCTGTTGATTTTTGTTTTTGAAAGGACTGGGGTGAACTGGGAAAAAGTACATACAATCTGGCTGTGTCTACACTAGCACCCTTTTCCGTAAAAGGGATGCTAATGAGACACTTCGGAATTGCAAATTCCGCGGGGGGATTTAACTATCCCGCGCGGCATTTGCATGAACATGGCTGCCGCTTTTTTCAAGCGCCAGTCTAGATGGGATCTTGCGGAAAATAAGCCCTTTTCCGGAAGATCCCTTATTCCTACTTTCAAGTATGATGATTCCTTTCAAGTAGGAATAAGGGATCTTGTGCATTTGCAATTCCGACTGGTCTCATTAGCATCCCTTTTCCGGAAAGGGGTGCCAATGTAGACACAGCCTATGGGTATATGGATTAATCTAAGGGGCTTTCAATCTTTCATTTAAGTTAGGCATCAGAAACAGTAATATAAATCTTGATTAATTGGTTTTCAGGCTATGCTGACTGCCAAATGAGAAGAGGAAAAGATTATTATAAATCTGATAGAAAGATAAAAGGGGTGTGAGCATGACAGGGATGAGAAGATAAGATGTGCAGTAATACTAGATTTTTAAACTAATGCAAAATGCCTAATTTATCAATTTAATCTTGCAAAATTTACAGATTGCAAGATAACTGACAAGTGTACAAAATCTGTGTTAAGCCAGTTGTCCTCTTGCATTTTCTAATCCATTAAGAATAATGATGTCTATTCAACGATGTTCCGAACTCCAAATAATGGATTACCTAATAATGTGTGGCATTGAATGTAAAATAACTGAGATAAGCAGTTTAAATATACAGGCAGTCCCCGGGTTACGTACAAGATAGGGACTGTAGGTTTGTTCTTAAGTTGAATTTGTATGTAAGTCGGAACTGATATATATTGTAGGGGAAACTCTAGCCAAACATTTCTCCAGAGCTCAGTTTTATTCTCCCACACCTCACTTCCCTCAGTCCTTTATTCTCAAGCTGAGATGTCTGCTGAGAAAAGCCGTTCCTCATCTCCCTGGTCTGCTGGGGGGAAGCACTAGCTTCGCGTCTCCCTAGTGTGCTGGGGGGAAGCAGCTAGTGCGGGGTTGCCTCACCCCGTTTGTAAGTAGGGATCCGATGTAAGTCGGATCCATGTAACCCGGGGACTGCCTGTAGTGGTTATTGAATAAATTCCTTACTTCTATAAGCGCAGCTTGTGAAATCTACAAAAATGTAATATTTTCTGATGGCAATTAACTTTTTTCCAACAATGAAATTCTGATTTCCCCCTTTGGAAACTAGAATGAGAGGAGTTTTCCAGGAAGGAGCTCTCTCAATATGTTGCCTTAGGACAGTGGCTCTGATGCAAGTTTCACCATTTTCCTGTCCTACTCTTGTTTAAAATTTGGCAAGCCTGGACATTTGAATCACTAGTTTTCATCTGTGTCAAAATGGTGGTGGGTTTGGAGTATTTTGGTAAGGAGCTGGTGACACACAGTGTCCATGTCACCAATGAACAATTTATAGCAAGATTGCTGTCACCAATGGCAAGCTCAAATTTGAAGATTACAATTTTTTAAATAAGAAAAATCCAGATATAAAAGGGAAACATGAAATCAAGTGTTCGGATAACACAATCAGGAGTTCAGTATGAAAGAAAAATAGATATAACCCAAAAGGAAAAGCTCACGTAGTTTGGAAAGTGTTAAAACATAATCATTCTAATCACATTTTTTTTCTTTAAAACTGACATGTCAAGCCTCTCATGCTTGCAAGATGTTCTCCATAAACATCTGCAAAACTAACTTAATATCCTCCCTCAAAAACTTGACCATGGTTAGACTGTTGGTGCCCTGTGATTATTACTTATCATACTGACCAATATTGTCTTGTTTCCCCGTTGGGTCTGTCTGTTGCCACCTGTCCTATACCTACATGGTAATTGGGGCTGGACTGTCTTTGTGTTGTATAATGCACCTGGTACGTTGAGGTTCTGGTCAATGATGGGAGCTCCTAGCCACTATGATGATGATACTGACTTTAATGCAGAATTCCCAAAACACCACCATCTGAATGAGAATGGTAATGGGCAGTACAAACTTTATTAGGATTTTAGATGAAAGATAAGCACTGCCTGCTTGCTCTTGAGACTGTTTAACTGGTTCAGAATTTTAGATTTCAATTTCTGTCCAGTATAGTTTGGAAGTTCAGGCCTGAAGCATGGACATTTATATTTAAAGAATGATAGCAATTTAGGGTTTCATTTTCAAACACCTATAGAGAGTGTTAAAAAGCTTCAGAGGGGTAGCCAAGTTAGTCTGTAACTAGAAGTTCTTAAAAAAACAACAAATAGTCTTGCAGCACCTTAAAGAGTAACAAAACATGTAGCTGGTATCATGAGCTTTCGTGGGCATGAAAACTCATGATACCATCTACATGTTTTGTTGGTCTTTAAGATGCTGCTAGACTATTCGTTGTTTAAGTGTTTCCTACAGAGAGTGTGTTATGAGTTTGAATTGCTTTTCACCTGATTGGCTTTCAGCTGAGCAAGACTTGTAAGTTTGTATTAATAGTCTTTTTTTACCTTTGTTCCCTTTTGCTGTTCTTTATTTAGCAGATTCAATTGATAATTTTTTTCAGGACATATTGATGCCTTTACATCAAAGCTCATTATGCTTGAAGAGATTTCTCCGAAACAGTTAAAAGAAAAATGTGGATCATTTAAGTAAGTAAACTTCATAATCATATCTAAAAAGAGTTTCAGAATTAACAAACCTTTTCCAAGTCATTTATTAATCTGTGGGTGACACAACTCCCTGTGAGTTAACGTAGAAACATGGCTCAGACTCCCATATACTTTGTTTAGTGTGATGGCCAAGATTTCCAGTCACATCAAATAAGTTTGGGTGTCTCTGTTTTGGGATCAGCAACTTGTGTCATCTTAAAAGAAGGTGATTGTAAAAACATTACTTAGTGAAATCCGATCCTTTCAGCGTGTCCAATTTGGGTTCCTGATTTGTCGATAATGGAAAACCTTGGTTTATAAATTTACCTTCTGTGAATTTTCTACCCACAGGCCTGCAAATCCATTAAATATTCTTCGACATATCTTGAAGCAAGTGATTGAGTAAGTAATTTCTGTTGTTTATGTTGCAATAGCATCCCAGGGCTCCAAAGATAATTTTCTTTCTTTTGCAACATGATTGTGTACCTATCAGTTGTTGTTTCTATAGTAACTTAGATAATGCCATTACATACTCTGTAAAGCTTGTAGAGCTAGTTTTTATGTACAAAAGATACGATATAAAATAAGTTGGATCCTGCAAGCTCCGTTAGGTCTAGTCTACACTACGAGATAAGATTGAATTTTTTAACTTTGTAAAATTGAAGGTGCATATCCCTATTGTGTGCAAGAATTCACTGTAGTTGGAAGTAATGCATCCCCAGTAGGCTGGTACCATTGACTGTGAGAGGAATGCACTGTGAGCAGCAATTTTGCAGTTCCTGTTTCCCCTTTGCATTCTGGGTTATGCTCCTAGTGCACTCAGGGACTAAAACTGTACAGCGGGTGGCTGTGGGTACACATTGTTAGCGTCTCATAATGAACTAGTCTCCTCTCCCCACCCCACGCTTGAAAGCAACAGCAAACAGACTGGCACTCTTTTTTTCACCTGGTTATCAATGCAGACACCATAGCAGGGTAGGCAGGGAACCCATTGTGGAACCTGTTCAGCAGCAAAGTATTATGGCAGTCACATTAACCATGGTGCACCTTTTGCTGGAATATATCCACAGTGTATCAAGGGTCTGCTGGAACAAGGAAGAATCTCAAGCGGCTACTCTTCTGTGAAGCACTTGAGAGCCTGGCAAATGCCATTGGCATTTGATCCTCTTAACTCAGTGGAATGCTGGTTCTGGTGCCATGAGACCACAGACTGGTGGGACCGCATAGTAATGCAGCTATGAGACGATCAGCAGTGGCAGCAAAACTTACGCATGTTTTGCCATGCGAGGCCACTTTCATGGAAGTTTGCAAATTGCTTTTTTCTGCCTTGAAGTGCAGAAATACCATAATACTCTGACAGGGGAGAAGTGAGGGGCAATAGCCACGTGGAAGCTTTCAATGTCAGACAGCTACCAGTCAGTTCGGAATGGGGAAATCTGCAGTGGGAGTTGTTGTGATCCAAGTAGACACAGTAATCCCTATCTTGGCACCAGCCACCTTGTCAAAGAGTATGTAAGCTGCAAGGGGTACTTCTTGACGGTGCTGCAGGGACTGGTGGATCACAAGGGCCATTTCACCAAGATCAATGTGGGAGGGTCGGGAAAAGTGTATGATGCACATCTTTAGGAACTCCTGCCTCTTCAAAAAGTAGCAATCTTTCCAGACCAGAAAATTGACATTGGAGGTGTACACAGGTAGCCTGGACTGCAGTAAGGAGCAGTTCAACTGCAGCCTGAGCAAGTGCAGAATAGTGGTAGAATGTGCTTTTGGGTGTTTAAAGGGAAGTTTTTGCAATCTACTGACTAGGTTAGACCTCACCTCAAGCAACATTCCCATTATTGTGGCAGCTTGCTGTGTGCACCACAGTATTTGAGAGTAAGGGGGAAAAGTTATAGAGAGAGGGAGAGGGGGGTTGAAGCACAATACCTAACCAGTAATTATGAGCAGGCACTCAGCAGGGCTATAAGGAGAGCACAGGTGAGGGGCACTGAAAATCAGAGAAGCTTTGAAAAACAGCCTTGTGAATGGCCAGACGGATATGAGTCATGCATGCTGCTCTTAATGAGGTGCCCTGCACTGCATTAAGCATTCTTGCCTGTAAATCCTGTAAACTCCCCCTCCCCCTTCAACACAAGCCATAAAGAGACTGTTGTTCAGAAATCCTGCATTTTTATTTATGGAACACATCAGGAACAAAGCATTCAGGGTGGGAGCTTCAGGGGAGTGCTCTGGGATACATTCCTGGGGGTTGTGTGAGAGACTGCCCCTTGACCTCCCCTGCCCTGTATTTTAGGCCCCCCGGGAGAGAAGACTGTGGAAGTCAGTGAGGAGGGAATGTGTGTCTGGGGGGGGCCAAAAGGGGTGCATGTGCATGTGGCTGTTCTAGAAGGCCATGTCAGTCAAGATATTCTCCTGGTTCTTCACTTCCAGTTCCCTGCATGCTCTCCGGTTTGCTTCGCTTGCATGACCTGGGGCAACCTATTCCTCCATTCGAGTGCTTCCCCTCCAAGTGGGCAGATTGGATTTCATCCCTATTCCATTTTCACCTGCAGATACGTGCCAGCCTGTCAGCTGGCAGAGCTGGGGAGCGTGCAGCATGCTCGCTGCTGCCCCCTCTATAATGAAAAGTGAAGGAAAGAGTTTACAGGAGAGACGACGTTGAGCATAAAACCTAAAGATGAAAGGGAGGTGTCATGTACAAAGCCACAGTTATGCTTTAAGCGGCTGCTCTGTAGCAGGTACACCACAGAGATCTTAGGGGAGCAGCTGGGTTCAGTTTGGTGGCAAGCATGGTAAAAGGCTGGGACTTGAGCCTGTGGAAGGAAGAGGGTCCTGATGTGATGACCAAGACAGGGCAGAGGGTCATGTGGTGACTGTTTTTGGAATCCCTCATTTGCTGGCAGAGTACAACCGTCCCTTCCTTCAGGAGCATGTGGTGAGTCCCTGGGCAGGAGTTCACGTTGTACTCCTGTTTTCAGCCCCACTGGTTTGCCAGGAGAGTGCAAGTTTCCCTTCCCCCAGGTGCATGCAGGCAGGAAGTGGGTAGCAGCAAGGCAGGGGCTCATGCAGTGCTGTATATTCGGCAACCTCCGTTTGCCGGAAGAGTGCAAGTTTCCCTTCCCCTATGAGTATGACGAGGGAAGAGGGGCCAGTTGTGGCATCAGGACGAGCTCAAGCTATGCTTCGTCGGGGGTGAACAAATGGAGGCTTACTGCTCAGGCCCCAGGTTGCCATGTGCGATATTAATCCTCTCCAAATCACTTACAGTGATAAGGAGCCGATGCTGACTGAAAGTGGTCAGAAAACTGGACCAGAAGCTGCAATGCTTTGTGCTGCAGTGATACTAGACCACTTACTGATGGCTGAGAGACGTCCTGGGAGGAGGGGGTTGTCTCCAAAGTTATAAGCAAGTGCTGGCTGTCAGTGAGATTGGTTGCCCCGCTCACCTGCTGACCAGTCTCCTCCTCCTCATCCATGCTATTCTTTATGCTGCTGCCCGAAGCTGCCAGAGAAGTGTCTTGGGAGGAAAGAACAGACTGGCTAGGAAAGCTGTTCGGGTCCTCTCCACCCCCCTACTAGGATCGCATACAAACCGCTTATAGACACAGCATATTTGTGGTGATGCTCCAGACTGATGGTTTGCCTCCTTTGTCTTTTTGTATGACTGCCTCAGCTCCGTTATTTCACACGGAACTGCTGGGCCTGTGTCATGTAACCTTTCTCCTCTGTGTCCTTTATGATCAGGGCCCATAGATATCTGTGTTTCTTTGCTGGTTCATAGTTCTGTGAGAACAGATTCACACAGCAGTGAAATCCAGGATCTCCTGCGTGCTCCATGCTGGTGCTCATTCATGGTCAGTTGTGCTGCTGAGGTTTGCTTGCCATAGTGGCCACACGGGAAATGAAATCAAAATTTTTCCCTGGCTTTTCCTGTACCAAAATCAACTTTAATGGCCTTTAAAGTTAACAAAATAGATATGGTGTTGTGGAATCATTGTTTAGCGAATAGACCTAATGCAGCTAAGTTCAACCTACATTTTCAGGGTAGACCAGGCTTTACACAAAGGTCGACCTCACATTAAGTTCCACTGGCACCTCTCACTTCACTCAGTTTGCAAGATTGGGCCCTAAAGTGTTTGGGTGTTTCAGGGACAACATTTACGCTTTGCTTTGCTAGTCTTATTGCTAGTTTTGCTTGTACTGGTACTGATTGTATTTTACCCCCATCCAGTGCTTCTGTTGTCCTAACTTTACAGTTGCACAGTTTTTCTTCATATGTTTTCACCTGCTCTCTGAAGCTTTGTTCTCTGTTTTGCTCCATTTAACTGCTGACATTTTCTCAGGTTTTAAACCACTTTGGAGCTTTAAAATTTGTTTTGTAAAACCATCTCTGTCTCTGTCTCTCAGAGTTTTCATTGTAAATTTTGAGGTTTACAGTTTTTGAGTCCAGTCTTATAACATGTGACGGAGACTTTTCTGGTGGAGATTTGGTTGAGCTTTTACTTGCTGTAGATATATATGATCATGGGTGGATTTAAAAAAAGTGTCCAGTGTACATACTTTCGTCATTGTGCTTTGTAATGATTTGAATGTTTAGTACGTGCTTAATTGAATCAGGGCCTAAATAACTAAGAATAATAGTACACAAATGAAAGATAAATTAGCATTTCCATCAATACATTTTTATTGTAAAGAGTTTGCAGATTATACGTTATTTAGGTGTGCACCTATCAGATACTTTGTCCCACCGTGTTAGCTATGTTTCCTTCTTCCTTTTGTTGTTCATCAAAATGGCAGAAGCCATTTACTATTTTTACCATATTAGGAATGTAAGCAACTAGTTGAATATCCAATAAGCGTAAGCTTATCGTATAGTCGACTAGTCGCTTTTCTCCTCCTCCTCCCCCCTTGCTGCTTCTATCAGAGACAGCAAGGGTCAGAGAGCAGGAGCCAGTGCTGGGGATAGCCAGCTTAAAATTCAGTTTCCCCCAGCACCGTCTCCATGGAGGACAGGGGAGGCAGATGGGTAGCAGTGACCAGGGCCCAAGCTGGGAATCAGTTGATTCCTGGGTGTCAGCCAATCTCCAACGCTGCACCCCTGCTTTTTAAATGTATTAAGAGCTTGCCGGCTCTTAAAAAGCAGAAGCCACGGTGGGGGGACTGGGCAAGCTGGGAATCAACTGTCCTGGTTCGCACCAGGTCCCTAGTGCTGCGCTTCAGCCTTTAAAATGTATTAAGAGCCTTCTGACTCTTAATATGTTTACAAGGCAGAGCTGTAGCGGTGTTATCTGTGGCTCCTCTGCTTATCGACTAGTCAATTAGTTGATTAAACTGAATTTAACATCCCTTTACCATACCTGATTGTGAACAAATGAAATGATGGAGAAGCAAAAACGTTTAATTTGTTTTATTTACTCTACTTTTTAGTGAATTTTGATTCATGTTGTGACTGTGCTTTAGTTTGCAGGAAGGCTCTTACTTATTGACTCATGCTTCAGAAGATTCGTCAGTTGCAATCTACCAGAGCTGTCTCGGGAAAGTGACTAGAGCATCATATAATTTACATAAAGCTCACTGCAGTCTACCTAATATACCTTCCACCCTTTCAGTTCCATGGGTACCATTAGATCCCAGCCTCCCTTTACCTTTTCACTTGAATCACGGAAGAGTCCCATGTACCTTTCCACCTAGACCCCAAGAAACTATGAGAAAACAGAAGGTGAGTAACCACACTAATGCAAATACATTTGTTGTCTCATTTGAAATAAGACGGTTTGCTCCATAAGTTATAGGTAGCTTACTAGTCTGTTACCTTTGGGCTTGAGGTCCCTAAATAAGTTGAAAAATGCATGCCACAGCCCTCGAGCACAGAACACATTGCAGGAGTAACAAATTCACTTACCTGCAACTAGCCCTGTTTGTTTAATGAATAATTAGAGTTAGCAGTTATTCACAATACCCCGTGATAATTGACATGGATTTTTACAACATGCCTTTCAGAGTTTGGTTATTGAAAAGCTAGCTAGAAGTTCTATCTAGCAAAGTTCTGAAGTGGAGCTCTGCTCCCTCAACTTGTATGGACTAACATTATTTCCTAACAATGTAAGGAAGGAGCTATGCTCTTCTTTATGAGCATCTGTGGCTAGTGAAGCAACATTGCTGTAAGCACACAACTAAACGGGGATTAAACCAATTGCAGAAGCCTCATTTTGGCTCTGGAGATGGATTTTTGTGGTCCTTTTAGGTTACATTTTTTCCCCTCAATCTCAAGAGCAGTGTTGCCTCTAAATTGAGCACTTGGGCAGCTATCCTGGTGAGATTCAAATGCTGCCCAGATGGCAGCATGTGTTTTTTACTGGTGGTGTACATCCACACATGCCTCAGTGAAAGTAACAAAATGTATTCTGAGCATGGATGGAAAAATTAGAACACTACTCAGGAAGGGATTTTTTTTAAGTCATTTGCAAAACTGATCCTCTTCCCATCGTGAATCACTGGTACCTTAATTTGCTTCTTTTGGGACAGGAGAGCCTCTGGATAATTACTCCGGATTGTAGTTTTTATGAAGAGTGTGTGTAGAAACAAATGTATCCCCATTCCACAAATTAAAAAAATCCCTCACCCTAATTCCGAAAGTGTGTTAACATCAAGGGGGCCAAATTCTCCTCAACATATTGCAGATATAATAGCTTGTTGCCTGTTTCTGGTCCCACATAACTCCATTGTCTTTGAAGAAATTATAGTTACAATTTATGTGGCTTCTTGAGATGAGCCTAAGGTAAAGAATGTTGTTCAAATACTTGTTCCTAATGTGTATCCTCTAAAATAGTGAAATAATAATCATGAAAACAGCTAAATTTATTGTTATGCAAGGCAATTTTTAAAGTAAGAGCCATACCACTCCTTGTCTGAAGGCATGTGATTTACCTTTTATTTAGGAAAATATGGTTATGGTGTCTTGGCTATAAATAAGATATAGCATTTGGGAAACTTATTCCTTTTTAGTGGAAATGAATAACTTCACACTGTGTGTGTGTTCCCTTTTTTTTTTTTTTTTAAACTTCACAGATTGTTAGCATGATACACATTTTAATAATTTTGCTGGAAATTAATTTTACCAAAGAATGTATCAGACTTGGAAAATGACCATGTCTTCTAAACTTAAATCACAATTTAACTGATTTGGTGTAGTACAAGCTTAAACTCCTATTGAACAGATAGCCTGGGTCTGGAGAAGCCTCTGATGGAATTTGTCAGTCTCAAGCTATAGGACAGTGAGTAAATGATACATTTCACAGACTGTGAGAATATCCACTAGCAAAGCCAAAATGTTAACTTTAATATTTTGTACGAATGCTGTGGCATTTTAAAAAGTAAAGAACACCCAAACAGTATTTCTTGTAGTTTAGTTTGCTCTTGTATTTTTAAGGACTGCTTTGTGGGATAGATGTAGCTGAAAATAAGGCTCTAGATCTTTAGCTTTAAAGTTTTAATGCAGACTGAAGTAGCTAATACTTTTTCCCCCTTCCAATGCTTCTAGATGGATTGGGCAAAAGCACACACAGACACACCCAACAATGAAAAGCCAGTATCCATGGAAACAAAAAGCAATCCCTTGCCAGCTAAGACTCTTAGAAATGAAGGTGTGGCTGCAAAGAAACTGAAGAAAAATAATGGCAAACGGGCAAATAAGATGAAAAAGTTGAAAAAGAAATAAAAGGAAACTCAAGCAAAGCAGGAATATCTTAGCTACAGTGAGAAAACATGGATTGGAAAAAAAGTATCAGACAAACAACGTTTATTTTTCTTAGTGCTTCAGAGAAGCCAGAATGCCCTGGCAGAAGTGAGAGCTGCGCGGCCATGTTGAGGAAGGTTGTGAAATGCAATGATCTCTTAACCCTTTCTTAACTCACTAAATGCAATTCAGATGTGAACATATTCTCTTAAGTTAGCACATGAGAAGAAAAGTCAGGTGTCTACAATTGATGTTTATAGGCAAAAGTGACTATCATAACTGCTTTCGTTTTTATAATAAAACTGTAATTTGAGAAAAGAAGCATGAATTGACATCAGCATTCAATATTACATAAAAATGGAGAAAAGCACTTTTCCCAACTGTTTTGTATTCTTTTTCCAGAGTTCATTGCAGATGTGTATGTTTGATATTGTTACTTGAATTTTGTACTAATTTTAAATGTAAAATGCAGCATCAGCAGTTTGAATTTAATTAGCTCATGTTCTTAAAAAAGCAGGGTGTGTTCTGTCCAGTTTGAAAAGAAAATATTACCCTTGAGAATAAGAAATGCTCCTTCAGGTTTGTGTAGTCAACTGCATTTGAAGAGCAGCATTTCTTGTTTGCACAAGCTTTGTGTCTTTCGAAAATTCCATTGTTGAAATATTCATTGGCCTTAGTGGGCCTTCAGGTCCTAAGAAAGTTAAAATTGACTTCACTATTGTCTCAAGATTAGTTTTTGGTGTTAAATTCTTCCAAAACCTTCAGATCCCAAGAGTAAGTGTGTTGGTAATGTAGTACTGAATGACGGCAGCCTCAGTCGTTTTGTAGGAAGACTGTTGTCAGAATCAGTAGCATTCCATGCAAGCACAAAAAGTTTCACCCACATGAAGAAGTTTCAGGGTCTGGGCTTTAGTTACTATTACAGGGGAAAGCCAGATATTTAGATGGTTCAACAGTTCACTTGTAGTTTGTCTAAATCAGGTGGGCAAAAGGGCCTCCACTTCAAAGTGCTGCATGCTCCTTTCAGGGTGGGAAGAGACTTCACGCGCTCCCCCTGCCATCAGACCAATCAGAGCTTGGGGGCAGGGGGAGCATGTGAAGTCTCCTCCCGCCCTGCAAGGGGCTCAGCATTTAAAGTCAACCACCAGCTGCTGCTCAACTGGCGGTTGACTAAGCTCTGTGCTCCCTTGCAGGGTGGGGGCAGAGAGGGAGAGACTTCACGTACTCCCCTCCTCCTAGGCGCTCATTGACCTGGGGACTGCAAAGGGAGCATATGAAGTCTCCTCCCACTGCCAGAACAGCTGGTGGTTCTCTCTGGGGGCGGGGTGGAGAAGATTTTGCGTGCTCCCCCACCCCCAGACCAATCAGGGTCTGTGGGTGGGGAAACACAGAAGTGTCCTGGCCCCACCCCTTGCAGGTGGTCTGGGGCCACTTCAGAAATTTCTGAAGTAGCCCTTGGTCAAAAATTATTGCCCACTCCTGGTCTAAATTCACCCCATTCATCATGGCTCCCAAAGATACAAAGAGGAAAATTCTTGGCTAACATTGATAAGTGTGACATGTTTTCTTTTTGAGTGAATATCAGTAAAATTGTGCTCTTGTAAATTGCCATATTTGTAAAATGCTAAAAAGAGATTATAAATCCTATGCATCACAGATTGATTGTCAATATACATAGTTTATTTACATAATTTAGAAATGTTCATTGTCAAAAGAAAGGTTTATGCACGCTGATTGCTATGTATCATAGTGCCTTTGAGGTTTTAACAAATTGCAGGTCATGGTTCAAAACTGAAAACTATTGCTAAATAGTATGCCATGTGTAATGGGGTTTTTGATTGCTGCTTATAACTAGTTATGATGGCTCTGATCCTGAGAGATGTACAGCTACTGCTGAATACTCAGGATTAAGAATATAAACTTAATGACTGTGTTCTTTTATAGGCCTTGATTGTGTTCACTGGAGCTGATCATATACACAAAGTGCTTGCATACAGGTTCAGGGCCTTAGCAGTAAGTTCAAAATGTTTTGTCTATTACGTTAACTTCATTTTTATGTTCAAAATTGTTCTACTGTAATGGACTATATACAAATATACTTTAATATCCTGAAAATATGAATAAAATATTTAGTTGTAGTGAGTTTATATATATTTATTTTTAAATCTAAATGACTTAATAAAGAAACAGGTTTTTTATTTACCACTATAGTTACGTTTATTTTATTTGCCTTCTGTTATCTCCCCAGACATGACTTTAGTTGTTCCTTTTAGCTGTATTATGTTAACAAGGTGAAACATGTTTGATACAGTGATTTGCTAACTAATGAATATTACATTCTGATTCAAAATCATAAATCCCTTTTGTGACCTTCCACGTCAAAAGTGTTTTGCATATGAGTCATGTGCCAGATAACTGAGGGTGGGGATCCAAAGCATAGTTTTCGGCATACAAGTAAAAACTGCATTAGAACAACCATGGAATTTGATCTTTAAACACAGAGCTGTTAATTTCATGCTAAGTTTGCCCTAATGTCTGAAAGACTTAGCCTTTCCCTCATTATATATTGTGTGAAATCCCAGTTGTTATACAGTTAAAATGACAGGAATCTAAAGGTTAAATGAGTAACCCATTTTATAATTTGTATGTATTGTTGAATTTAAATATTCAGATAAAAATTTGGACTCTACAAATTGATCCAAATTAACTGGGTCTGTGTATAGCAGGGTGGGGAACCTATGGGCCATGGGTTGGCCCTGTCCCCTGGCTTACTTTGGTCCACCGCATGGCAAGGCCTGGGGCTTCCCTCTTGGAAAGAGCAAGCTGGTGCTTGCACTCCAGCCCCATAGCAAGTCTCAGCGCTCCACCTGCAGGGCTCGAGATGTGAGTGAGTTAGGTGAATGTGTGGGTACTCCACCCCTGCTCTGCCGAGACCCATCCCCTCCCCACTTGTCTCCCTCGTCTCTTCCCTCCCTTTCTCTGCTCACCCCTTCCAGCCAAATCCATGAAACAACATTTAGTAAAGGGAATGTGAAAAACACTTTTAAAACATTAAATGGAATACATGATGTAAGAGAAGAACTACATTTTCTTAAAACAGTATTTTAAAGCTGATTTTATGTTTTAAATAGAATCCTAGGGTTGAAAAAGACCTCAGGAGGTCACGGAGTTCAACCCCTGCTAAAAGCAGGACCAATCCCAACTAAATCATTCCAGCCAGGGCTTTGTCAAGCCAGGACTTAAAAATCTCAATGGATAGAGATTCCACCACCTCCCTAGGTAACCAAATCCAGTGCTTTTCCAAAGGAAAAGAGGCTCTCTGTTACGCTTATAAGAAGCACACGGGATCACACACAGTCCTGCAGATCGTGCGTAGTTACCAGTCAATGTTGGCTAAGTCAGTCTTACTGGCCAGGCGAGGCTGGCTGAGCGAGGAGTGGAGTGCCGCTGAGACTCCTCTGAGGCTTGGCTTGCAGAACTGAACCCAGAGTCCCATGGCGAGAGCTTCACTTCTTATACATGTCAGTTCCCATCGGAGTCTGTGGGTTTTGCAGTATTCTCTCACTTTTGGGGGTTCTCTCCCTGTCTCCATGGTTTGTCAATGCTGCTAATTCAATTCAGCCTCGGGAAATGGCTGTTTCCTCGTTTTCTTCAAAGTTTCCACTACTTCTTGATCACTTGGGCATCTGTGATGGCTGTCACTCACACACCCTTCCACTCACACCACACAATTATACAGAGTTTCAGGCAAGATCAATAATTACTAGAAGACACCACGTAGTTTGTGATGCAGACAAGGGGTACAACTTAATTTGTAATGCTAACAGGATGCAAGGCCTTACGGTAAACTATCCAACCATGAGATAGAGAGGGAAATAGAAGCATTTGGAACTTACAAGCAAGTCATACACCAAACCATTATACATCATACTTACTCTTTTATAACCAATACTAAAAATATACATTTTTGCTACATCTAAGCAGAGCTACATAGTGAGCTAATTGGTCGTTGATTAGTGTGAGAAAGGGCCTATGAATAGGAAAGAGCTTCATCTCCCATTGTTCCTTGTGTGTGTGGGTGTAAATTTTTCCTGTGAGATGACAGTGATGTCATCATGTCCCTCTGCAGCCCTCTGCAGCCCGCAGCCCCTCCCTCCGCCCTAAGCCACCGAGCCTCCTCCCTCCCTCCCCGGTATTCTGGCAGGCTGGAGCCATGCAGCCTCCACCTCATGGGGGGAGGTTGTGGGGACAGGAGCTGTGCACTGTCCCCCATCACAGGGGAGCCACAAGGCCTCCCCCTCCCTGTACCCCCCAGCCCTGTGTCTCTCACACCCTTGGCCAACACCTCCATACCTCCAGGCCCCTCACTGTACTGCCAGCCCCCTCGCTCACTCCTTCTACCAAAACCCCACACTCCAGCCTGCTCCTGCCCCCTCTTCTCTGGCCAGACACCTACCCCTAGCCTGCTTCTGCATCCTCCCCCCTGATCCAACACCTACCCCCCGCCTACTCCTGCACCCTCCCCCCTGGCCAGACACCCCCAACCTGCTCTTGCATCCTCCCCTCTGGCCAAACACCCTGACCTAGCCCACTCCTGCACCCTTCCCCCAGCCACATAACTACCCCCAGAGAGAGTGAGGTTGGTGAACACTGTGAGCAGGGGGCGCAGCCCTCTAGTCACAATAAAATGTATTGTCTCCTCTTATTCCTCTAATTCTTGATGGCAAGTTTTTCACATTGGCAAAACCTATATGCTTATGCATACTGGATCAGAGCATTGATCTTTTAATTCTAATTGCCTCCTTCCCTATTGACTATTGTTGCTTCAAAAAGAGGTGAAAATACCTGTAACATAGCTGACCAGTTGGGGGTTAGGTGAAGGGTATCTATCAGTTTATACATGGAAGCATGAGACTGTATTACTGTAGTCCCCTTTTTAGCATGTACAGGCAGTCCCCGGGTTACGTACAAGATAGGGACTGTAGGTTTGTTCTTAAGTTGAATCTGTATGTAAGTTGGAACTGGCGTCCAGATTCAGCCGCTGCTGAAACTGACTGCCAGTTCTGACTTACATAAGGGTGCTGCTGGGTTGGTCCAGTGGCGCCCAGAGCGGCGCTACGGGACCAAT